CCCAAAAAGGGTAAAAGGGTACCGCTGGGGTTCCTAGGATTTTGAGATACCTTCAAAGGCATTAAGGTAGGGCTTCATGGTTTAGGCATATAGTAGGAGCTCCAACAAATGGAATACTGAAGAATCGAACAGCAAGTGACATAGAATCTTGGGATGGATTCAGGTGTTTCAGGGGATTGTATGTCGAGGCGATTTTGTGTGAAATGGAGTTTTGTTGTTAAAAATGTTGTAGCTACATCAAGGTCAAAAGGGAGAATCTTGGTGAGTGTTCAGGCTTCTGCAATAGGTTTCCTTCAGTACATTCAACACAGAGCACATAGGAAACATCTGGTGTCCAATTTATGAGACCCATCTGCTTGGGCTGCTGCCAAAGAACTGGGCTTGGGCTCAAACCCTACATAATTCTCCCGTATAAACCTATAGATGCAAGGATATCTGAATTCACAGTACTTGAATAAGTAAGGTCCGGTCCATTCGTAATCATCGACCTGGGCTCGGGCTCACTGCTTTAGTAGGGCTTTAGGGTTTAGGGTTTAGGGAATAAAGGGATATCATCCCCATACATATATACACATAAATATACTCCCTATAAATCCCCTTTACGGTATATTCCCTCATTCCCTACTAAGAACCAGAAAGCATGGGGTTGGAGACGGGCTGTGGGAGAAGGGAGGTCCAACTGCCTGAGGGCTGGGTGAGCAGGGAAGCAAACAGTTATTACTACTGCTAGTGTTACTATTGTTACTAGTGTTACTATTAACACTATTGCTGCTATTGTTAATACTGTTACTATTGCTACTGCTACCGCTATGCTTACTATAATTACTATTACAGAGCTTTAAGTGTAAACTTGCCATTGGCTAATCTGATGACTTCCGGCAGCTCAGGTTTCTTAAAATCCGTGATCTTTCTGAAGGTCCTTAGACTGGGTTGCTGTCCATGATGGGCATACATAGTAATGAAAACGGTTTCCTCGAGATAGTAACTTAAATTAAGTTCCTTAACGGCAATCCAGTGGGAGGAGGAAGGGCTGACTTTGGTAGTCAGAATTTCCTACCTCATGAAAACCCTAGCTAGAGCACTTCCCGGCAAGGAAATTCCAAGACATGTTTCAGGCTTACTTACGCTACAGCTGCGGAACACTACTAAAACGCGAGCAAGCTAAAGTGCTCATATGAGCTATTGTCTAA